TTTCTTTCTTTCTTTCTTTCTTTCTTTCTTTCTTTCTTTCTTTCTTTCTTTCTTTCTTTCTTTCTTTCTTTCTTTCTTTCTTTCTTTCATCATAATCACTGTCACTTATATGCCTTGAGTATTATTTTGGAAACATGGGTTAGTGCATTCACTTGACCCATAAATACATGTCTTTATTTCTCAGAATATTTAACAAGCTCAGCATTTGAAGGACTCTTACACAAACAATTGACAACCAGCTTACTCAGTTTTCTCTCTCTCTAAATGGGAATATATATCTGCTTGTCAAACCGGGTCAAGTTACATTTGTTTTAGTAACCAGCACAAAATAGGACCATTCCATTTCAATTCAGACATTCTACAGGATTTTTTTTCGTCACACATCAAAATCATGAACCTGTTGTATCACACTTCTCTTACTGTGTGTGGTGTAGTTGCTCTTAGCTGAATAATCAGTGTTTCTTTGCAGTCTTCTTTAGTCGCAGTCAGAGCCCTGCTTAAAATAATAGTTCTCTGATTATTCATATGAAAAAATGTTTTTTGGTAATTGACGTTACCAATTATTATGACGTGCAGGTGTCACATGTAAAGTTTCATTAAAGAGAAAGAGATGTGCTTTACTCACAGTAGGGTTTCTAAAAAGTACTGCACCCTTAAGACATGCTGACAGGCTTAGTGTTTAGGAGAGAAATAAACTGGGGGGAAAAAGCAGGTGCTGTTTATTATTTGACTCAAACATTCCTTGAATTCTGCCTTTAAATGATGTTAAATTACTGACAAAAACAAAAAGAACATGTCATTACATTAATGTTTTTTGGTCTACTTATTTCCGCAATGACTATTTGTAGAGAAGCTTTACTTTCTGTAAGGTCTTGTTGTGTGATTTTGGGTTAATCTCTGTGAGCAAACAGCAAATTTAAAACTGGCTGAATTTTGTCCACCTACTCCAAAATGGTGGTGGCCATGAAACATGCAGAAAAAGAAAATGTGAAAGGACTACTTAAGAGTCAGTGTTTGTGTGTGTGGTTTTTTTTCTTCTGAGCTACTGCAGTGATGTGGTGCATCATGGCAAAAGGCCAAGGAGAATGGAGAAATCATAAAAAAACATGTTCATTTTTCCACTGTTTGACAAAGACTGTTAAAATGCATAATCAAATAATACATTTACTTAATTCTTACACAATTATTTACTAGAATTTAGATATTTATATATGTGTAGCTATTTGTATAGCTCTTTAAGTAATGCCCTATAACTTCTTTCACCTAAGAACTATTTCTTATAAAAAGATTCACTTCTGACATTTGTTGATGGTAACTAGCAGATAGAATGTGTGAAATAAAAATTTTTAGCTTCATACAGTATCATGCCTATCATCAAAAGCACGATCGAGCTGTGAAAAGGTGCCTCTGACTCAGTGAGAAGTACATTTATTAAGTGGGGAAGATTTAGATTAACATAATTTATCTATCTGAATGGTAAACATTATACTATGGATGACAGATTAGTTGATACGTAAAAACATTCATAAAAAGATTCTGAAGGAACACTGAAGAAAGTCCAGAGCAATTTAAGTATCCCAGATGTCAGGACATCTTAGAAGAGCATAATCAAGACGTTCTCTAAACTCACAATTCTTTAAAGAGACAGTACTATATTATTGTAAACACTGTATTTTTGTTTGAGATTTTGTTATAACCTGGATGTCTATATGTGTGTATATGTGCTCTCCAAACCTAAGTTATCCTCTCTGATCCGCTGTTTTTCAAGGCAGCAAGGATATCCAATAAACATACCACCAAAAAAAAGGAAGAAACGCAAAGGAAAGAACAAACATACAAACATTGTGATCCCCTGTGTTGCTCAAACATCTGAGAAACTTGAAGGATTTCTCAGTGTATTTTGGTATCGTGGGACACAGGTGTGGAGTGTGCAACCCATGTATGGAGACCTTAGTCTTCAACCAGCAATCCCAGTGTTCCAACCTACTGTAGACACCTTCTCTTTCCCCTTTTACTCCCCTCCATTTCCTTTAAGTCCTACTTCAAATTAAGGAAATTACAGCCAAAAAAAAAAATAAAAAATCCAACAAGAACAAAAAATACCCTGGTGCATTTCAGACCTAAATGACACAATTCCCAAACACATACTGCTGTGCATGTTGTATGCAGATTAGGGTAGCAATGAATGACTTCTATATTTGAGAACTGAACACATGGCTTTCAGAAGCGAGCAGGTAAGGAATTATCTGTAAAAATAAACCTCAGAGAGAAGGGACACACTTGTGAGACCAAAATGTTCATATTTTGGACCAAGAAGATAGTTTACATACAAACATACAGTTTAGCATAAAGGCTGTATTATACTGGACGTACATACATTCTGAGCGAAAATGGGACAGACAGTGTTTGCAGCTTTTTATACTCTCTAACTTTTCCTCCTGTACCTAATCTTCTGGCCAACTCTCCAACATAAATCGTAAGACGTGTCCAGTTGTTATATCTGCAAACCCTCATCAGTAGGAACTGTTGCTGGTTGCATTTCAATGTTTTGTTCGTTGTTACTTCTTATACTAAATGATCTTGACTTGAAAGTTTAATAAGTTTTTTAATAAGTTCCAACTTGTTGATCAGTAATTCTTAGTGAAACTAATCAAAGAGTTAGTCCAAGTGAGTCAACAGGAGCCATTCCAAGTATCTGTAATCAAAGAAAAGTGATCAGTGTCAGTGCAGTTGGACAGTCTAGTTAAGAGCACATTTGTCAGAATCAGGATCAAGTGATGTAAACATTACGCCTTTTCGAGGAAATTTTACAAGAAGTTGTTTAAATTCCGCACCTCTGCCATATATATAACGAACATGTCCAATCTGTTGACAAAACTGGAGATCTGTTTTTGCTTTCAATTTTAATTTTAAATTCATGATGAAGATTCCCTTGATTGAAACGCTGTATGTCACTGAGATCTTTCCACCCCAATAAAGGCTTTATTAAACTGATTTATTATTTTCTAAAGCTGTGAATCTTTGCATGGCATTGAAAGACAAGATAGATATACATTAGAGCAATTGGATTATGAAACAAACAAAGGACACAGTTGCACCTCTGTGGATATCACTTTTTGATTTTGAGCTTTTCTTAGTCACAGTTTTGGGAAAATGCAAATCAGAGCTCTATAATTGTTTGACAATGAACAGAACTTTTTCATACCAATTAAGAATTTCTATACATTCTATATTTCCTTAAGCATTTTTTTTTCATGTTCTCAAGTAACTTCTTTTTGCAAATGAAATCACATGTTATTTTAATTTCAAGTGGTGCAACATTCAAAGCTCTGCTTTTCCAAAATTTTGAATAAAAAATTTACAGAAAAACCTACATGTAACTTAAAGCTACAGTGTGTAATAATTACAGGCATATAAAGTCAGAAATTTAATATATTATACATAACTATGTTA